GTAGAGGGTTTATTGTTTATTTTTTTTCTTGATAAATGGATCTCATTATTTTCCTTGGGCAGACAAAGCCATAACAGTTTCCAGAGAAAGAAGTGACAGCTCCAGGAAACTGCTTACAGATGGACAGCCAGCAGGCTAAAAATATTACTTGTGTCCACCTCATCAATAAGCTGGCTCCATGAAGAGTGGCAATTATTCTTTTCCTGCCTGTGCTGCCGTTTGAGAGGCATAAAGATGATTATTGATAACTCAGTATGTAGAACAAAATATATACAGTAACACAAACTCATTTACCATGGCAAATCCATATCAGAGAGCACCATTGCCTTTCATGCTATTATTTAAAGTGGCAACGTGTAGCCATCAATGTCTTAGAAGATTATGCTGATACTGTATTTTGTTATAATCCTATTAATTGTTAATGATGCACATTTATTATTCACCTATATTTAGAGAGTCTGTATTATGCACTGCAAAGGGGGGAAGATTTCTGAGTTGAAGGAGGTAGGTTTGCAATTTTTCATGCATATAAATGTCACAAGAACTGGCCTTTATCATTTTCTTTTTTTCTTTTTGGCTGTATCAAATAATATCCTTTTTTTGTGACAAAAATACCAAAATAAACGAATAAAAATAAAATATTGTGTAAATGGAAAAACAACCAATGCTTGATAAGAGTCAAGAAGCAAGATATGCAGCTTTATTATTTTTTTAATATAAGAAAAAAATTGTAGTACCAATTACTGTGGGGAATTAAAAAAAAAAAAAAAAAAAAAAAAAAAAAAAAAAAAAACTCTCTCAATTAAAGGCACTACAAAATAAATGACAGTTTCCAGGCATCAGCACAAAGCTAAAGGGATTTCAATGGCCTCATTACTTTTATTACCCTGCATTGCTCAGCCAAATCTACCGCAAGATTGTGTTTAGGCATGGGATTTGTCCTGGTACTTGCAGAAATGTGGGCAATGGATCAGCTCACCTGGAATTGAGAGAGCAGGCACACAAAATCAGAACACAGCAAATGCTATACTTACATAGTTATTCTGCTCTCTGGAGATAGGAGAAAAGGTATTGGCCAGAAAATGAGTTACCAAATGAAAGACAAAGTCAACCTTTATAGTCAAATTTCACCACATCTGATCATGTAGTTTAAGGTATTTGAACCTATTCCTATTGCCTTACTTTTTTGAATATCCCATTTTCCAGTATTTATTTCCTAAAATATATACAAATAATGCACATTTTTGTTAATTTCTACTGGCAACTAGCAGAGTGATTTTTTTTAAAGTCAATCTAAATGAGAGAGCATGCTCTACATTCTGCTAAAATTTTCTCCTGGGCTTGAAGGTCACAGTGATTAACTGTTCTGTGTTATTCTTGAGTTGCACAATTATCCAATAATCAGGAATGCCACCCAGAGCTGCCATGACTTAACTAAGGGGACCCTTGTTCCCAGTTTTCCTAAATGTCTAGTCTCTGAGGACAAAAGAAAGGAGTTCATCTAAAGGTAAACTGTCTTGCTGAGTTTTTAAAAACAGCGTATAATTAGAAAAAACAAGGAACTAAATAGCTTCCATCTAACTCTCAAATCACCTAACCATTTTTAATTTCAATCTTTAACAGTTTTTCAGTATATGATAAAAGTATTATTGTTTTCCTTATTAAAAGATTCTCAGGGTACTAGTATCTGAAAAAAAAATTACTTATTCAACAGTGTCATAGAGCTATTATACCTAAAATTATGCATTGTTTTTATGTTGCCTTTTGTAATTTCATAAGAAAGCAACTAAATGCAGTGGAATGTACTTTATGGGGAAAGGGCTACTGAAATCTTTGTGGAATTTAGAACACAAGTTGTTTATCTAACTCCCATATGATTAAAAAAAAAAAAAAAAGCCCAAAATTCTGTTCAGGAGGCAGATTTTCTAAATATGAGTGACATATAAGACAATCTAGGTGAAACAGTATTTGAAATACATTTTACCTGAATTTAAACTAAATCTGTAAATTATTAGTTCTGGCTGAAACACATATCCAATAGAAAATTAACAAAGGTCATTTACCTTTGAATTATATTGAAATATTACATCCAGAAATTCTTTGGTCATTCTATAAGTCAGGGTACTTTTAATCGCAAGTGACGGAGCCTTTGGGAAATGTTGATTAACCTAACCAAGCCAGAGGAAGGGCAGTAACAGAGCCAAACCACTCAGACTAGGGACCTGAATGTAGTAAGGACCCCTTCCCCTCATCTTCCATCCTGTTTCTGGCAGCCTGAAAGGAATGCCTAGGGGTGTATGTGTGGGTTTTTCTAAGAGTTGCCCACAATAGCTAAGGAGCTCACTCCTTCCTTTGCTGATTTGTGATCAGGAAATCAGAGTCATGCTGAAAGATAAATCTCTAGAGTGAGGGGAAAGAGAGGAAGTTCACCAATACTATGGAAGTGCTATTTCCCTAGCTTGATCATTTCTTCAAATAACATTATTAACATCTTTAATAATGTTAATTCAAGAAGATTCCAGGTATACTCTTGCAATACATTCACCAATATTTAACAGGTACTGCCTGAGTAAAGCTTGTAAAATGAAATGTGTTTGCTTAGGCCATTGGTCCAATCTCAATGCTGTCCTGATGTCTGCTGTTATTGCCTTAGGCATATATCCTACCATTTCCAACCACTTATTTCACCTAGCTCTGTCCCATTTTACACTGTCAAGCTTTCTCTATCAGTGTGCCAGTGCAATGAACCAGCAAAAACTCATTACTTGATCTCCCACCTTTGTTTTGGTAACTTTCTAAAGAGGCAATGTGAAGTGACAGAGAACACAAGGCTTTGCATTAGAAGACCTGGGTCTGAAACCTATCTCTCCACTTACACCTAAACTGATTTTATCCAAATTCCAATGACTTTCTCACTACAACTTTTCTTTGAAGTACTGTTGTGAAGATGACATAGGTAGCATGTCTGCAATGCTTTACCAGATAGAAATATCCTGTTTCTATGCATGCAATCAATTTATTAACTACTTTCTTCCCTTCCTTATACTCATAGACTGTACTCTTTTCCCATAGATTTAAATTTTTAATCATCAGCCTTATTGTTGTTCTTGCCAATCTTAGGGACCTTGAAATTTTTAATGGGTAACAATTCTAACACAATTAGCTCAATATTCCCAGAACCTTGTAACTGCCAGTCTAATCCAGATTCAAAATTGAATGATTCTTGAAAATATATGTTTTCCCTCCTCAAGCCTTTAGAAACAGTTTAATATTCTCATTCCTGTACCCATTTCAAACATTACCACAGAAAGGAAACCACTTCCAGAAGGAAAAATGATCTAAAAATTAAGTAGACCAAATCCACTCTTTAAGAAACTAGTCTTTCTTGTACATTAGAAACACAGAAAGGATTAAGCAGTGAGAATTGTTTAAACAAGGTAAGAAAACTGCCTCTCCTCGAGGACTACCAGAATCATAAACTGTCTTTGGCAAGGACTTTGGGAACTTAATAATGTAATGATTCTGCCTACATCTATGGAGGTATAGCAAACAGCCTGTTTCCAAGGTTTAAGCCAGTGTTTAATGCTCAGTGAATGCTAATGTCAGAGACAAAGAAAAGAGGTATGATTAACAATGTATTCCATCCTTTGCTTGCAACCATTTTTCCACTTCACCTCTTAAGCTGTGAGCTTTCTCCTCTAGTGCAGCATTTTCACCTGCTTACTGCAGGCCAGTGCCCCAGATATTAAATTTTAAGGGAGGGATCAGGAAAAATAACTAATAGGTATTAGGCTTAGTATCTGGATGATGAAATATTCTGTGTAGAAAACCCCCATGACACAAGTTTACCTACATAACAATCCTGCACATGTACCCTTGAACTTAAAATATAAATAACCAAATAACAACAACAAAAAAAAATTAAATACATTTTAAAAGTTAATTATAGTTGTTTCTTACCCCTCCTTATCCACTTAACTTCTTCCTCCCTCAACTGCAACTCTACCCCTTCCTTTTTACTCCCCCTCACCTTCTCTCCATCCCATACCCTCCTCTTTTCAGTTGACCTCCATTGCAATTTCTGAGTCTTTACTTGCTTACCCTTTTCCATTTCCTACATTCAGACCACTGGAGTCACGTCTGCCTCACATATGCCCTCTAATACAAGACTTTTTTTTCCCTGACTTTCTTCATCCAGATGTTAACTGAAAATGACCTTTACCACTCTCTGAATACCTTTAAGTACATTTATTTTTTTGTAAGATAACTGAGGGCGTTTGCCATATTCTGCCAACTCCGATAGTCCCTAAAACAAACACCTTATTCTTTTGGTATAGCTTATCTTGTGAAGCTTATATTGTTGTACTGTTGGGCAAGAGAGTTTTACTCATTTTTTTTGTTTTATTAATTTTCATAGCTTTTCTATCAGGTGGTCCTTTATACAACAACAGAGTCATACTGAGTCTGTCTGTTCAATTCAAAAGCAGTTGAAGCACCCTTGGAAAGGAAGACTTTCTTGTAAATTCAAGGTTTGGTTAATACCAGCAGGAAGAGGTTAGTGAAAATAAATAGATAATAAACATAAACATATCTTAAGATCAACTACAAAGTTCTAGATACCCACATTACTACTTGTTATTGCGTACAGAAATGAGCACTGAACTGGAATAAGAAAAGCTGGGTTCCAATCCTTCCTATGTCTTTTATAAGTTTTGTATCTCTGAAAACATCAGTAAATTATTTGAGCCTCAGATTCTTCATCTATAAAATGGGCAGAGTAGTACCTACTTCACAGTGTTGTTCTGAGCATCAAGTAGTACATGCGTGAAAATTCTGTAAAATTTAAAGTGTTATACCAAAATAACCATTATTAAGAGTTTTGTTGCATTTTCAATATAACTTACAGAGAAATGGACTATAACCTGCCATCTAGTCTAGGGATCTGATTCTTGGCCCCTCCCAGGCAGTCTGTGGGGGTAGTAATGATTGTCACATGTTACATTTGGCTACTTTGGGTTTCTTTTTTTAGTGACACCACTTCCATCTACCCGCCATTCCTGAAACCACTAAGAAGCAAAATTCTTAGATAAACTTCATCTGCTTTGGCCTTTTATGGGGTACCACTAACCCAATGCTTCTAGAGAGACCAAGGCTAACATCATTCTATACCCCTTTGATAAACTTAAACAATTCAATGAAATTATTTGGATCCCATTCATTGCATCTCATCTTGTATCTTGGTACCGAAAACTTCTACTTCCTTCCCTATGATAATCTAATGGAATAAGAAAGACGATAATTGGCTTGTTAACAAAATAAATGACCATTTGTAACGTCATACAATGCTATTTCTCAATGGCATTTATGAGTCGGTATTATAAAAAATTTGCTCTTTCTGAACTCTCATATAACTGTCTTTGAAGTCAGTAATAATCATTTTAACACAATGCTTCATTCCCTTTCTCCAAAAAGCTCTAAGCACCTGGGAGACATTATCTAATTAATACTAATGTATGCAGAGAGGCTCTAAGGGGGAGTTTAAGAAGACAAAAAAATGTCTATGAAGTTCACCATGACTGTCATTAAAATACGATCTGTTCAAATGCATGTACAAAACACAAGCCTTTAGCCACAGGAATTCACTTAAAATAATTTAAATAGTTTATAAAATAAATGGATTTCTATTCACAACTGTTATATGCTGTAAATTGAGCCTGTTAAAAGATTACTTCAAAGGTGTATCCTTGATATTCAAGCTATTTTGATTCACATATATTTTTCTCTTTACAAAACTAAAAGAATAAAGAATAAGCATTTGAAGATCTTAATCATCTGCTACATTTCACAAACCACTTGTTGATTCAATAGTACAATTGATTCTACTCAGTCCTGTTTCTAATTTTTAGAGTTTGTGTTGTTTGAAACATTCAAGTTTTTTAAAAATAGGAAAAATTAAAATGCTTTGGGCCGAATTATATTGTTGGATTTAAGTAAAAAGCAGTACCTACCTAAACTAAGGAATAAAGGTGATCACAGTAAATAAACTGAGCTTTTCTTTTTTGTGCTGAGGGCAACGGCACGAACTGACCACGTTTTAGCTTAGTTAACCACATGCACTGGTGAAAGTCAGGGTATATAACACCAAATGAACTTCATTTGCCCATCTCTTTGTACAATAGAGTTTTCTAAGGAAACCCGCTGAGCCCCAAGTCAGGCTAAAGGGAGTCTTCTGACCCAGCTTTCTCAGTAATGTAGTGGAATATATTCATACTTGGAAGGAGCAATGCAGTTAATGAGTCTGTTTATTATACAATTGAAGGATGTGACCCAGGTACAACTCTTTGATCTCACTGAAGGCAAGATTATATATTTTACTTCTTCTGTAGAAACCACCTCCAATACCTTGACCAGTTAGACTAAGTAAAGTGCCCTTGCTGTGTACTTCACTAGTAAAATGCTACCAAAGACTCATTATCCTAACAATGACTGCCTCGATGTACGTTAGTGCCCTACAAAAGTATAAACTTCATGGAGTCAAGGTAAACGTTTCACTATTCAGTTCCCAAATGGCTCATTATTTGCCACTGTATTTATAGTAGCTCCCCCATATGCAAGAGGGATGTGTTGTAAGACCCACATTGGATGTCTTAAATCTCAAATAATACCAAAGCCCATATACACTACGGGCAGATTTCTTTATCCTTATTCACGATTTCATGGATAGGTTTGTTCTTACTATGGATCTTAGAAAACTCAGTATATGATTTTTTGGTACTTTATTAAGTGAAGAACTTTGACCTTTTTACTTACAGGAAACACTTTCTGGCTTGTCTCTGGCACATCCAAATTGCTGGCATCACTACTCTTGCACTCTGGGGCCATTATGAGTCAAATGAACTTTTACTTGAGTGCAAGAGTACTTGCACCTGCACTGCAAAACCATGACAGTTGATCCTTGGGCAACTATGATGTGGCTAATGGGCAAGTAGTGAGTCTTCAGTGTAGACATGCTGGATAAAGGTAGGAATCATGTTCAAGGTAGGATGGAAGGGACTGGCATGAGATTTTAATCAGGCTACTTACAATGGTGCACAATTTAAAACATATCAAGTGCTTATTTTTAAAATGTTCCACGTACAATTTTCAGGCTGTGGTTGACTACAGGTAACTGAAACCACAGAAAGTGCAGCTGCACACACAGGGAGGCTACTGTAATTCATCGTGGACTGAATGATAAATGGGTACCTTAATGGACAGACAGATAAAGTAGCTACATTTGTTGACTTTGCCTTCATGTTCTCTTCATAAACCCAGGGGAGCTCTAAACATCTGTAGGAGATCTGGATGCTACATACAGGCAGGCTCACAGAAGCTTCCAGAGACCCTTCGTTGCATTTTAGAGTGTATATTTGGGAATGTTTCCATACACTGTTTTCAGTCAAAAATACATAAAAGTCCTACTTTTCAGTCATTTAGCATTTATTTTTTATCACCTACTATATGCTAGAAACAAGGCTAAGCCATGTGTGAAAAAGCCTATGACTCAAAAAGAGCTATGTGTAAAATTTCTTCCTTGTAAGTTTGAATATTGGAATTTCCACAATTGAGAAAATAAGTACAGAGAATTGACACAAAAATTGCCAGGGATATGACAACACAGAAATCAATGTTGACTATAAGAAACTGAGCTTCAAATATTATGTGACCTTATAAATAATACATCTAGAGTCTAAACAATAAGCACAATAAAAAGTTTGTTTTCAAACTGATCCTATGTACTCTCTTTAAGAACATTTGATAAATTCATATCATAAGCCATGTTTAATTTATTAAATGTTCCAACCTTTAATGATCAATAGAGACCAGAATACAGACCTAATATGATTGAGTCATGCACTTTGGAAAATTACTGTAACAGCATTAAGCTGTTTTTCTGTGTATTTCCCAAAAATACTGCTTTTCTTCCTTTGTTTACTTTTCTGTTGATAGCTGAAATTTCCAATAATTATTTATTTCAAAATGAAAACTGCTTTCAATCAATTGATAAACATCACAGAAATATCCCCAGGAATTTAAACCCTGGAAGGCATTTTAGTCCCTTGCACATTGTCAAAGTAACTGTCAGTCTTGTTTAGATGCTGGCATATTCTCCTCTATTAGAAGAAAAGATTGATCAGTCAGGAAGAAATGTTTACTGACACTATTTCAACAGTAGTCAGTAAAGAAAATTCTTCCTGAAATAGTTAAATCTTTCCTATTCTTTTAATATTAGTTATATAAAATCCTGCTTAATTGTGCACACACAAAGCATGTGATCTCCAGGGCTCTGCTTGCCTCTCTTATTTATTACATTCATGAGACCATCTCAGCTATCCTAATATTAATAGGTTCCTCTATCCATCCATATAATGATAACTTCAATGCTGTTACTCTGTTCCAGACCTCTTTCCCTTTTCTGTATAATTCTTTGTAAAAGCCACAAAAATAGTTTGATTCCTGCATTTAGAGTGTAGCTTAATATTTTTGCATATCTTGGGACATACCCCCTTCTTCAGGAACAACACAAGGAAAGCATGTAAGGGCTCAGCAGGATGAGACAAGCATGAGAAGCCACAGAGGCAAGCATGTCAGAAAGTCTGATCTTTAACCTCACAGAGGTATAAAACATGCCAAAGACTAAAATAACATTATTGACAACTGATAATGCATGTTCACATCTGAGAAGTGCTCAAACACATCTGAAGCACAAATTTCAGTCCAGCTCGACCTAGATAGTTTTTGATTCATAGGCCTGGGACCCTGAGAGCTGGGGGAGATTTTTTCAGGTATGCCAAAATGAGAAATAACACTCCTTCCTAGGCAAGCCACTGTTTTGATTATTTACACAGCAATAAGATGAATATTGCTGGATGCCAAGAGATGAATTGATGAAAGGTCTTCACTTTCTCTTTATCACTGTTAAATCCAGTGCCAAGAATTAGCCTGGCATTACACACACTGCTCCTGCCCTCTGCTTAAAGAAGGTATCTGTCACTATCCAAAATATCCTGGGCGCCAGAGCTGATATTACTCACTTAGTCTTTGAAGGAGGATGACAATAGCATTGTCTGAATTTACAGGAGAGCCTCTGAAAAGGCACAGCGTGGCAGCCAGGGGAGAAGCTCTATCTCCTATGTTGCTTTCCTTTGTCTGATAGTGTAGGGTCCATGACAACATTCTTAGCTCATTAAGATCATGCAGTTTGTCATTTAACTATATAGAGAGTGCATTTTCCTTACTTTATTCTACTCTATATTTTACTGTCCCTGCATTTTATAGACATATGAAAAGCATACAACTTGTATTGACTTTCAACAAAAGTCCAACACATGAGATTTGCAGACGATATAAAGAGTTAATTGTTGCAAATACAACCTGTTTTTAGGAAAGGGCCGAGATCTGAGAGGCTCCAGATTGAGCAATGCAGTCAACGTCCATTGAAACTGTCACATGGCAAACCCAAAGACCTCCCATCTCACAAATTAAACTTATCTCAGAGTCTTCCAGGACAGTAAAGTGTTCACAAAAAAGTATGTCATGAGGAAATGCAAGCAGTACAGGTAATGACCTTTTGCTCCAAACCTAAGATTGGTCACATGAACTCTGGTCTGACATGCTGAATGAGCTTTTAATAAAATAGTGATGGCATTTTCGATAGTTTGAGATATCCTCTTGCCAAAAACTCAAGTTCTCAACCCAACAATATACTTTCCTGGATTTAGAAATTTCATTTTAGCATAGATTAGAAAAGTCCTATTTCTTTGTGATTTGCATCCTCCAGTTCTACAGCATTTATCATGATGTACACCATAGAACTCCTACTGTACTCCTTGGCAGCTTTACAGCAAGCAAGTCAGAGATCAGATGTACAGCCCACTCATCAGATGGAGAAGACCCTAGTACTCAGTGTCTGCATTCTCATACTCAGGGAGCGGAATCTTCTCTCATCGTATCACACTTGCAGACCAGTAGTTTCCAACAGTTGGCATCCATCAGAAGAACCTGGAGTATGTATTAAAACTAAACTCTGCTGTCAACTGCTCCTAGAATTTCTGATTCACTAGGTCTGGGTTTTTTTGCCTGTTAAACAAATTCCCAAGTGATTCTCGTGCTGCTGGTTCAGGAATCACATCTTGAGAAGCACTGCTATACAGGGCTTTGAAAATTTATATGCTGGTTTGGTAACTTCCTGACTTACATACTATCTTTTCCTCCATTTCTGTCTTCATCTTTTCATTCTTCTCTCTTCTCTCCCTCTTTTGAGAAAATATCTTTTATTTGGAAGCTGTGCTTATGGTCACAAAATTGAAAAAAGAAATCCATCTTATATTTGAATAACATTTTTTCTCTACCAAAGGTGTAGGAAATATATAAATATATATATATAAAAGAGTATAAGATCAGCTCCTTATGACTTAATTCAAATTTTGTTACATTGAAACCTACTATATAAAGAAATGTTAAAAGGGCTTATACTGAATCAAGGAGGGCCAAGTCGCTCAAAAGAGTTTCAGAAACTCTGGGTTACGCAAAGTTAAATAAGTATATTTACTGGAGAATGTTAAATGAACTAATGTGCACTGTGATTCTCCAATTAGTAATCATATTTAGTATTTATAGAATTTAATTATGGAATCCTTTTTTAATGGAACACTGGTGTGCTAGGAATACAGTATGTGAAATAGTCTCATTTTCCCCAAGGACTCAGATAATGGATTGACTTAAACTAGGTAGGATCGTTTTCCTTTTAAATCACTTCAAAAAGAAAGGTATTTTTTGTATAGTAAGATACTGTATATATATGTAAAAAGACTGATTAGTTTTTCAGATTATAACTTCACTCCAATAGATATAAGCCTACGATGGCAGATTTCATTAAACCTACTATTGAATTCAAATTCCTGAAAAACCTACAGAAAAAAAAAGATAATGTGTAATACATTGTTCTTTTCCCTCTTTTGAACTGGGGAGTTATTATTAGAATGCCTGCTAATTAGTTAATTTATTCTGTACTTGATAGCTAAGCCAGAGGCTCACAAAAGGCTTACAAGTTTCAATTTCTAGACAGACCCAATTCTTAAATCAAGTTTGTGAGTTTCATAATTATTTCAATTTAAACTCAAACATGCCCCTCTAGTAATGTATGAAAAGATTATTAAGCTATTAGGTTAAACATGGATATCTACTGAAAGGGCCAGAGATTGATAAGGATTACCGTTAGTAACCTTTTAAAACCATAATGTATCAATTTCAAATTATAGAACATGGTTTAAATGTCATTTATACATTAGAATAAACTGAAACGCATAATCACTGTCTCCGTGAATAATCATTTAGGCTCATTTCTGATCTTTCAACGCAGACAAAGGTTACTAGGCTACAGACCTTGTTTGCTATTTGATGAGCATTAAGTGCTTAATTTTGAGGATTTCACTCATCTTTTATACAAGGGCAGACACAAATTGTTTTCTAAACAAGAGAAGAAAAACTGTATTTACGACTACATTTGTGAATATTTCCTCTCTCTACAAATGTGCTTAATTGGAAGTGCAAAACAGACCAGTTCTTATCTCTTTTTATCACACTATATAACTTTCATAACACCTTTCCATTTTTCCTTGGCAAGAGGACTTTCATTTTTTCCCGCCTCCATTCAGCCAGTATTTATTCAGTTCCAATGATATAAAAGAGATTATACCAGACCAGGGAACAAAAAAATGCATCAATGCCCTACATCAGAATATATATATCTTGCAGACCAGTAGTTTCATATATACATACATACACACACATGCACACAGTCTAATATATGGTTTTGATGCATTATATATGTATGTATATACATATACAGATATATTGATATATATTTTAGCCAGGTAATTTTGACATATAAAGAAATAACTCTAGATAATGCAATAAAAAGAGAGTTTTGTTAAGAAAGAGACAGCTTTTTAATTAGCTCACAAAATTATCTCAGCTGTAAGCACGAAGGCAAAGCTTCTTCTCTTCCAAAATATCAGAAAACTCAGTTTGGGGTGCCTGTGGAAGTCAAGGTGTGGTGAAAAGTAAAATACTTACTTATTTTCCTTACAGTGACCATGTGTCCTAAGCTTCGGCTTTACTATTAAAAATAAGTTTCCTGATTTCATTTCTCTATTGCAAGTAAGAAAACCCCAAGCTCAATATCTTTCAATGATAATTTGAGGATGTTGCAGAAATCACTAATAACTGATCTGCACTCAGAAGAAAGGTCAGTAGTCTGCCAAAGCAACTGACCTGCAAACAGAAGGTCAAAAATACCATTTAAACTCTGTCTAGGCGAATGGCCTTGTTTAACACACAGGGAATGTTGAAAGAGCACTGAAAGGGCTCTACAGGGGCCTGGGGGCTCCACAGTGTACACTGATTCACAACAGTCTGTGCATCAGACACAACCATGAGATGGATGGCTACAGTCCTCAGAAGAAACTTTCAGTCTTTGGGACAGGTCACCTGCAGTTCTACACTCAAAGATATGTTTATATCTCAGTAGTAGCAGTTACTGAGGGGAGAGCTACTTTATAGGGTAGTGCCTGATCATCCTGAAGTAAACTGGACATTTTCTGAGATGGGCGAGCAATGAGAATTTAGTTCAGAATAATAGCAACCTAATGTCTGTGGAAAACATTCTACAGTTTTTATATATGGAGGATTTTACACCCGTCTTTGCAGAAGGCTTAGAACTTTATCTAGGGTGGAAAATTACTACCTTTGTTTTGGTCCTAAAACTAATTTTATTATTAATAGTGACCATTAATAATACTTGGACCATCTTATAAAAGCCTACTATGTAATAACGATAAATTGAGCAATCTTGGACTTTATTAACCTCTTCCTTTGCAATGTAAAATACTATTAAGTAGGCCAAGCAATGTGGCTCATGCCTGTAATCCTAGCACTTTGGGAGGCCAAGGCAGGTGGATCACGAGGTCAGGAGATCGAGGACCTCCTGACCAACAGCGTGAAACCCGGTCTCTGCTAAAATACAAAAAACTAGCCAGGCGTGGTAATGCGCACCTGTAGTCCCAGCTACACAGGAGACTGAGGCAGGTGAATTGCTTGAAGCCAGAAGGTGGATGTCGGCAATGAGCCGAGATCATGCCACTGCACTCCAGCCTGACAACAGAGCAAGACTCCATCTCAAAAAAAAAAAAACAAAAAAACAAAAAAACAAAAAACAAAACAAAAACAACAACAACAAAAAAAAAACTATTAAGTAATTTTCTAAAGTTTACAGTTAGCTGAAAAAGGACTGAAAGCAGCTTCTCTTGACTGCCAGTCTGTCTCTTTCCGTCTTTCCATCATGCCATGCTCACTCACCTAAGTCAATGTTTTAGGTCTGGAATACTTGCCTACATAATAATGAACAGAGAACTAATACATATTCCCTACCTTTTGCAATACACTATAATCTGTCTTCCTTTCCATTCACCAGGGAAGTCAGTGTTTAATAATGTGTATGATCCATTGTTGTGCAACATCCCAAATGGATAGTGTCTTCCAGTGAGGAACAGTTCATTCCTTCTTAGTCCTCAGTGCCTGCCACAGTGTGTTGTACATACTGTATATTCAAAACAGATTTGAGAGTTGAGCATTCTAGGAATATAAGACAATCTGCTAAAAACCTCTTCAAACTCTATAATCTTTAAAAGCCATGATTCTAAAAATATATGATCTTAGCTACCATCTGGTTGTTTGATCTGACAGGTGTTTTAGCAAGTTCCGTTTTAAGAAGTATTATTTTAAATATTCTCCAAATCAATCTTCTCTGCCAAAATGCTATAGGAAACCTTGTTTATTGTGAGTTTATATACAGAGTTGGATTTGTTTTACCTTTTTAAGGCAGCTTTGATATCTATAAAACTTTTAGATTAGTCACTGTCATATAGAGCAGAACTTAGATGGTGACAGTTTGAGAATGTTTTAGCACTCCTGCAAATATCTTTAAGAAATTTGCCTAATGTTTATTTGTTTTTATTATGTTTTCTGAGACAGGGTTTCACTCTGTTGCCCAGGCTGGACTGCAGTGGTGCGATCTCAGCTCACTGCAACCTCTGCCTCCCACATTCGAGGACTCTCCTGTGTCAGCCTCCCAAGTAGCTGGGATTACAGGTGCGCACCACAACACCCAGCTAATTTTTGTATTTTTAGTAGAGACAGGGTTTTGCCATGTTGGCCACACTGATCTCAAACTCCTGACCTCAAGTAATCTGCCCACTTTGTCCTACCAAATTGCTGGGATTACACGTGTGAACCATTGCACCCAGCCTGAGAAATTTGCCTAATATTTATCGATTAGGAATAAGAGAAAACAGGTATTTTTCTACTAAAATATTTAGTTCTCCATCAAAATAAGGAAATTATTACACATATTAAATATGTCAAAACAAGTTATTTTGCTTGTAATTAACTTAATTCACAGGCTTTTTCCATTTATCCTAACATTCATCCTAATATGAAAAATCCCTGTTACAAAGGAAAAATCTAATTTACATGAATATAAGTGTAAAAATCTTTTTCTGACTTTCACTGGGGCACCTAGGTATTTCAGTTCACTTTCAAACTTTAATTCTGCATACTTTCTTAAAAGTTTAAAAATACAGGAAATTGAGCATATTATTTATTCCTGTTAACTAGCTCTACACCATGCATTCATTTGCTTTCAAGATTTCTGCGGGCAAAAACTGCCAGTTTCAGCTTCATACATGATTTCAGGTCTTAGAATCAGTTTAATGTCTGTATTGGCACTACAAAATTTGCAGGTGTGGGCAGGTAGTAAAAACACTCTTGCAGTTTGTGGATCCCCACCCCCTTAATAAAGTGAATATTGAAGCCAATTTATATTTCCCAAGTTCTGTAAAAAGTAGAATAAGGAAATCTGATTTTCTAAATAATGCAATAATATTTTGAAGCCCTTGGTAGCTACCGGCTGGGTCACCCATTAATGTGGTTCTGTTGCCATGTGCTCCAGAGTTTCAGGAACCATTTGTCAATCTGGAGGGGTATAAGTACCACTGCCAAGTGCCATACTTGTAAGTTTTTCTGAACATGATGCTTCTTTATGTTTTGGCTTCAAACACTATGGCAACAATGAGGTGAGAAGTGACTGTGCTATCAAGCACATAAGCAGCAGCACAAGATTAGTTTGAGGGACAGGTGAAGTTTCATTTAACAAAAACATTGGTCCACTATCATTAATTAAGACATAATTTGAAGTCAGACTTTTTTTTTCCTGT